AAAAGATATGACAGAGAATAATAAAATCAGAAAAACTCTTAAAAATGATGTATTAGAACTCAGTAAAGAATCAGAAATAAAAATAAAAATCAATTCAGGGAGGTGCCCGTAGTTCAGTGGGCAGGGCACCAGCCACATACCCCAGGGCTGGCCTGGGCCTCCTAAACTACAACAAAAAAATAGTCGGGCATTGTGGTGGGTGTCTGTGGTCCTGGCTACTTGGGAGGCTAAGGCAAGAGAATCGCTTAAGCCCAAGATTCAGAGGTTGCTATGAGCTGTGATGCCACAGTACTCTACCAAGGGCGACAGCTTGAGACTCTATAACAAAAAAAAAAAAAAATCAATTCAGAATGAAGATTGGATAAAAAAGAACATAAAGCAAATCAACACGCAAATAATTTCTTAAGAGAAACAGATGAAAAGGAAGAAATTTTTTTAAATCAAAAAGATAAAAAGATAAGCCACAAAGTGGGAGAGAATATTTGTAGAACACATTCTGATAAAAGACTATTATCTAAAATATAGAAAGAATTCTAAGACTCAACAAGTCAAGGAAAAACAGCCAAAAAATCTGCACAACCCCCCCAAAAAAGAGATTTATAGATATCAAATAAAGCATATGAAAAGATGATCAAGACCACGTTACTAGGGAATTGCAAATTAAAACAAAAATTTACACACCTTTTATAACAGCTAAAATCTGGAACACTGACAACAGTGAATGCTGGTGAGGATGTAGGCAAGAAGAGCCCTCATACATTGCATTGGGAATGCAAAATGGTACAGCCACTTTGGAGGGAAGTTTGGTAGATTCTTACAAAGCTAAATGTAGTCTTACCATATCATACAGTAATCAAGGTCCTAGGCATTTACCTAACTCATTTGGAAATATATCCACTTAAACACCTGCATATGAGTGTTTGTAGCAGCTTTATTCATAATTGCCCCACATTGGAAGCAACCAAGATACGCTTTAATAGGTAAATGGACAAACTGTGGTACATCTAAATAATGAAATATTATTCTGCAAAAAAAGAAAGAATAATCAGGCCATGAAAAGACATGAGGAAAGAAATGTATATTGCTAAGTGAAAGAAGTCAGTCTGAGAAAAGGCTACATACTGTATGATTCCACTTATATGACATTCTGAAAAAGGTAAACTTTAAAGACACTAAAAACATCAGTTGCTGCTAGGGGTGGGGAGGTAAAGAGGGAGAGATGAGTAAAATAGAGCACTGGCAATTTCTTTTTTAGGGCAGTGCAACTATTCTGTATGATACTGTAATAGTGGATATATGAAATTATCCTTTCCCACATAGAACTATACAACTAAGAACCCTAGCGAAAAGAACTCTAGCGAAAACTAAAATGGGCATTAGTTAATCATAATGTATCCATATTGGTTCATCAGTTGCAACCAATGTACCACACCAATGCAAGATGTTAAGAAAAGGAAAATTAGATGTGGGGCAGGGAGGATGAAGGAACTCTGTATTTTCTGCAGCTTTTCTTTAAATCTAACACTGCTTTAGAAAATAAAGTCTACTCATAGAAGAGGAAGAAAGGAAGGAAGGGAGGAGATACCAAAAAAATGACAAATACAGAAGACAGACTGAAAAATCCAATATATGTAAGACAGGCATCCCTAAGAAAGAAAATCAACATAAAGGACTGAAACAAATACTGAAATTATATTCAAGAACCCTCCTCCCCAAAGGATCTGACTACACACATTGAAAAGATTCCTCTGGCTCAGCGCCTATGGCTCAAGTGGCTAAGGCGCCAGCCACATACACCTGAGCTGGCAGGTTCTAATCCAGCCCAGGCCTGACAAACAACAATGATGGGCTGCAACCAAAAAAAAAAAATAAAAAATAAAAAAATAGCTGGGCATTGTGGCAGGCACCTGGTGTCCCAGCTACTTGGGAGGCAGGAGGCAGGAGACTTGCTTGAGCCTAGGAGTTGGAGGTTGCTGTGAGCTGTGATACCACAGCACTCTACCCAGGGTGACAGCTTGAGGCTCTGTATAAAAAAAAAAAAAAAGTAAAAGAAAAGATTCCTCATGTACCTGCAAAAAAGCAGTTGAGGATAATTACCATGACATGGAATTTTAGACAAACTTTAAAGAAGAAGACTCAATGAATTTGGGTATCCAGGCAAAAATGAGAAGATATTTTTAAGGGGAAGAAAATCACGTTGTCATCAGGCTTTTTTTTTTTTGAGTCTCACTCTGTCACCCTGGGTAGAGTGCTGTGGCATCACAGCTCACAGTAACTTCCAACTCTTGGGCTCAAGTGATCCTCTTGCCTCAGCCTCCCAAGTAGTTAGGACTATAGGTCCCTACCATAATGCCTGGCTAAGTTTTCCATTTTTAGTAGAGATGGGGTCTCTCTCTTGCTCAGGCTGGTCTGGTCTCAAACTCCTGAGCTCAAGCAATCCCCTGGCCTCTGCCTCCTGAAGTGCTAGGATTATTGGCGTGAGCCACCTCCTGAAGTGCTGGGATTACTGGTGTGAGCCACCCCGCCCACTCATCAGACTTTCTGACAGTAACACTTTATGACAAGGGGAAGTGGAGTAACATATATAAGATATTTAAGGGAAGAAAATGTGAACCAAGAATGTTATATCTAGCCAAACTGAGTTTCAAATACAAAAGACACAGACAAATGTCACTAATACACAAGAACTTAAGAAATATTGTTCCCAAGAGTCCTTCCTAAAGAATGAAATAGAGAACAAGTTTCAGACAACCAAAATGACCAGAGAGAAGCAGCAACATTATGACCTGAAAGCAATAAATATTTACTTGTAGAACTAAATGTGGGCTGGAAGGAAGAGAGCATAGTACATAAATAGCTATAGGCTCTGACAATGTAGATAAAGGACAACTGGAGAATGATTGCAAAAAAAAAGTTTTAAATTATTTTTGGTGATCATATTAATGGTGGTAGCACTGGTATCATTAACAGACTATTATGTATATAATGTGACATAAAGCAAATGAGTAATTGTGTAGTATTCTAATTGTGCCATGTTCTGTGTTCTTGAGAAAGAGGATTCTCAGTGTGGAGAAAAGGAGATACAGATATTAGATAAGATTAAGTAAGAAACTTGAACCTCAATTTGAACTACAATTACCAGTAGAAACATATTCGGTATTTTATCTAAAAAAACTCTCTTTCCTATCTATCTATGCATTTGTGTATACAATTTTCTTGCCTTGTATGCTGAAAACTTCTAAATAATAATAGTAAATGAGCATTCTAAGAGCATGACCAGATTTGCTCCTAAAATACCATTTTCTTCTAATAAAATTTCTTAGAGAAATGGTGCTTCCAGGTCTGAGCAGAAAACGTTTCAAATGAGCCTAGAACATCCTGTCATACCAAATAGCAAGCAAGCCACCTAAGTCTATGGAAGGTGTATCAAAAGGATTCAAGTGCCATTCTCATGAAAAGCCCTTCACTAGCCCAAAATGAGGCAACTGGAGCACTAGTTGGAATAACTGCAATGTGCTGAAACACATCAAATCATTTAAATCCATGCGATAATAATGATTTAAAAAAAAACAGTAAATGATCACCTTTAGATGAAGAAAAGGAAACAATATTTTGAAAACTGGTGAAAAAAAGGAAAAAATCAGAACGTGTATTCTGCATTTCCTATATAAAACGTACCACTGTGTAACCAAATAGCAGAAGACAGGAAGTTAAGAAGTTTCTTTTTTTTTCTTTTTATGAGATAGAGTCTTGCTCTGTCACCTCAGCTGGAATGTAGTTATGAAATCTCAAACTCTGGGCTCTAGTGATCCTTTTACATTAGCCTCTCTAGTAGCTGGCTCTATAGGGCACATACTGCTAATTTTTCTATTTTTAGTAGAGATAGGGTCTCTCTCTTGCTCAGGCTGGTGGCAATCCTCCTGCTTTGGCCTCCCAGAGTGCTAGGATTACAGATGTGAGTCACTGCACTTGGCCAGAAATTTCTAATTTATAGAAGTATTCTAGCTAATAAACAAGAAATAACAGAACCAGAGTATCACCCTTTGTCAACCACTAATGAATTAATAGATCTAGGCACTAAGCATTAGTGGTTGCTAATATCAAAAAAAGTGTAACAGAAGCGCCTTCTGCTTCTTGCTCCAATAAACTATAAGGTGGTCTGGCCTGCAAAAAAAAAAAAAAAAAAAGCCAAAAAACCCCCCAACAAAACCTAAATTTGACTAATTCTTCAGAATCAACTACCAATTTACAGGAAATACAGAAGACAGAGGAACACTGTAGGTGTGCAATCAGCAAAATCCAGACCATAGGAAACTCTTCAAGACAAATTGATCCAATTACTTCAATAAATAAGCTAGCTACCCAGAAAAAAAGAAAAGCTACTCAGGAGTTTTATTTTTATTTTTACATTTTTTTTTTTTTTTTTGGAGAGACAGAGTCTCACTTTATCACCCTCAGTAGATGACATCACACAGCTCACAACAACCTCCAACTCCTGGGCTTAGGCGATTCTCTTGCCTCAGCCTCCCGTGTAGCTAGGACTACAGGAGCCTACCACAATGCCTGGCTATTTTTTGAGTTTTGTTTTTTTTTTTAACTAGGTTCATTTATGATTTGATTAACATTTTTTATTCTAAAAAACAAAAGGTATTTGCTAGCATCTAAATAGACTGTGGATTCTTTAAAGTTCTAATTGTCTTTATGATATACTTACAAAGCAAATTACCAAATAATAACAAATGTCTACATTGATATTACTTTTTTAGCCTAAGTTTGTAATCCTCAAATCTATCACTCTAAAACCTGCTCTAAGATATCCTATATACAAAATAGTGGGTTAAATTGAGTACTTTAGAAATTAGAAAGTGCATTAGAAATACACTTACATTTATATTCCTCCTCCATTCCAAAGCTCTATAAAAGATCTAGATAGTTAGAGGAACTAAGTAAACAGTCACCATAAAAAACCAATACATTCAGCAGAAATAGCACTAACTTACCCAAAACAACTCTAAGGTCCTCACCGTCCAAGTGTAATACCCAAGTATTGGTGGTTTTTGATCTGTTCTCCATATACTTCTTGAGACTTTTTCCATTAATTTCCAGAGTATATTCATAAGCAAAACCACTGATGGCATCTATATTTATGGTTGCTTTTGTCTTTGCAGCTCCAACACAGAAGGTTTCTTTGCCTACTAATTTGAACATCCATTCTTTTCTTATCTCTTCCTAAGTAAAAAAATAAACATTTAAAATATACAAGTAGAAGGAGAATTAATATTTAATTTTAGAAATGATGTAATTAAATTAATGTAACGTAATGAACAAAGGCAATGCTATTTGGATATACTTTTATTAATTCATGATGCCAAGGTTTTAGAAAACAAAGCCATTTTAAGTTTAAATATCAGATGTTACAGCCATGAATTCTGTACCTAATATTAGTTTGCTTTGTACAAAAAAAATGATCATAGGCCAAAAACATAAAGATAACCATCATAAGAAAAAAAGCTCTGAATTTACAAATGAGGAAACTGCACATTAACGAAATCCAGTTTGTATACCGTATTTTACAAGGAACCTAATGTTTCCTACCTTCCCATCTACGTACACTACTCGTTTGCCTGATGTGGTTCCATGTTCAAATTCAATCTTATGGATTCCATCACTTAAAGCAACATCCCAAACAGCTACAAGATCTGCCATTTTTTCCAGGCTGTAAGGAGGGCTAAAAGAATAAAATTAAGATTATAATGGGCAAAAAACAGTAATAGTAATAAAATAACCAATTGCTCCTTCCAAGATGAAAATATCAGATTCAACCCTCTAAATTTCAGGATATTAAAAGAGGTGTTACCTACAAAATTCTACTTGCACTGTATGTAACTATTTTCTCCCCCTTATTCACTCTTCTTTTAAGACTCAACTACTATATATGGGCATATAGTCCGATTAATTCTAAAAAAAGTCACCTTAATATTAATAGGATTAAGAATCCTCCGGTTTGTCCTGGATAGTATTCTAAGCTAGGCTACAGCACAGTACAGGGAAAGGTCAGCAAAAAGTCTCTGCTCTTCCACCACAGCCTTTCAAAGCACAGTATTTAATTTTTTTCTTTTTCAGATCCAATCACTCCAAAATAAGAACTCTTTGGATATTCCATACTTAAACTAATGAGTAGGCATTTGTTTTAATAAAACTGAGTTGTAACTTATTATATTAAGACTGTTAAAGAAGCAGTGGTGGAAGAAATGTCCTATAGCACAAAGAAAAATAATTTTTAAATGTTATGAAAAACAGTAATTCTTGCCATTATTACAGAACAGCTTATTTAAAAAATTAATAATTCTGATTTGTCAAAAATTTCTGGTGTAATTTAAACATATATTTTTGCTATTAATATTTTTACTTAAATAAAGTATGTATCATATGTGAATGGCACATACTATATAATACATATACAATTAATATTTTGATATTGATATATCTTTTTAGCTTTGCGAGAACATTTATTATAGTAATAATGATCATAGCTAATACATATTAAGTGCTTATTCTGTGCCAGGCACTGTTCTAAGAACAGAGTTAAATATATTAACTCAGAATCACCATGAGATAAGTACTATTAGTATCCTTATTTTACAGATGAGGCTCAGAGAGGCTAAGGGTTTGCCTAAGGTGACAATGACATTAAGTGGCAGAGACAGGATTCAAACGTAGGACTCTGGTTTGAAAGCTTGTTCTCTTAACCCCATCCTCTTTGTTCACTCTTATTTCCTTTGCATGCTGTAAATCAGAGATAGTAAATGGATTTTATATCATTTTGAAGTGGTTGCCCTGAACTCTGTGCTGATAGGAATTGGGAAACCTCACATCAAGTTTCTGTGGAAAAGGATGCCATGTTCCTGGTGGCCACTTCCCTTCCATGCTGGGTATTTACTAACCTTAAATCATAAAATAAGTAGAACTATGCAATTCTACAAAATGTGTCCTTAACACAGTAGTTTGGATAAATAATTCTTTTAAATAATCACAACAATCCTGAATATTTCAAAGGCTAGTTTTATTGCAATGCAAGACATTTACCTTTCATCATCTTCAAAGATAGGACTGTCATCTCCAGATGCCATGGTTGGCAAAATAGTCTTTAATCCAATTAGCAGCCAGGAAAGAAGAAAGCAGAATTGCAGCAAAGAAAGATGGAAAGTAACAAAGATGACATCTACAAGGGATTTTTCTAATTTTGCAATCCATTTCTTAAATTGCATGTGGTTTCTCATGAAACAGCTTTTACACACAATAGAATTGCAATCTTTAATTTTCGGAGAAAGAAGTTAAATCATGTAAACCAGTCAATCATATTTTTCCCTGTTGTGGATTTAAAATTTCTTAAAAGTATAATTTATTAAAACTAGAGAATAAACTCTAGTTTATTTCAAGTATGACAGCATATGAAAGCTGCAAGAGACCTAAGAGATGCTCTGGGTCCCAGGCCTCTCAACTTGAAACACAAGAAGCCCCCAGGGTATGAGGCACCAGGGCGGGGAATACAAAGAACTCCAAGATAAACATGATGCATCTTTTGGGAGCATCAGTGTTACATCAATGGTGACTTATTTAAAATGCAACCTTTATATTAAAATTTAGAAGGCTACATTATGGTGGCATATAATTTTTAAAATCTTTGTTTATTTTAGATAATTTCAAAGAACTGGTGAGTGTGTGGGAGGCAGCCAGGAATATGCTGGTTTGCTCAGGTCACTAACAGGGCCCAAGTTGGAACCAGAGCCTAGTACCATGCAGAAACTAAAAGAAATTGGACTGCAGTGCTAAGTAAGTTTTACTAAAATCAGAAGATTACATATACTCACAGGAACCCTCCATATTTGAAGACTAGGAATTAACAGTTGAATCCCTGTCAAACTATCAGGTCCCAAACTATCTTTGGTCCCAAGATTTGCCCCATACAAACACTATTTTTCACTTTTAGTACAGTATTCAATAAATTACATGAGATACTATAATATAGGTTTTGTGTTAGATGATTTATCCAGCTGTAGTCTAATGTAAGTGTTCTGAACATGTTTAAGGTAGGTGAAGCTAAATTAGATGTTTCAGTAGATCAAATGCATTAAATACATTTTTGATTTATGTTATTTTCAACTTGTGATAGGTTTATTTGGAAATAACCTCATCATAAGTCAAGGAGTACCTGTGTTTTCAAAATTCTTTGTAATTTTGTATGATTTGCAAAAATTATGTTTATTTTCTCAAAAAGAAGTGTACTTTCACAACAAAAGCTTTCTTGTAATAAATGTCCAACCTTCATATTTTCTATCAACAAGCATTTATCTGAACCTGCTGTCAAGAGACACTACATAAGTGGGTGTCAACAATTTGAAGACTATACCTCTGTGCTTAAGGAATTTATTCATTTTAATCACTGTTCAGTCAACATAAGGTGTCCTTCCTAATTTCAAAACTTACTATAAAGCCATAGTAATCAAAACAGTGTGGTATAGGTACAAGGATAGAAACAAACAAATGGGATAGACCTGAGAGTTCAGAAATAAACCCATCCATCTAGGGGCAACTGATTTTTGACAAGGGTATCAATTCTATTCAGTGAGGAAAAAACAGTCTCTTCAACAGATAGTATGGGGAAAGCTGGACTTCCATATGCAAGAGAATTAAGCTCAACCAACTATCTCACACCATATACAAAAGTTATCTCAAAATGGAAAAAAGATCTAAATATGAGTGCTAACACCACAAAATTCCTAGAAGAAAATGTAAATCTTCATGACTCTGGATCTGACAATGGATTCTTAGACATGACACCAAAAGAAAAGCAATGAAGGAAATAATAAATAATACATTGAACTTCATGAAAATTTAAAACTTTTGGGCTTGGTGTCCGTAGCACTGTGGTTATGGTGCTAGCCACATGCACACAGGCTGGCAGGTTTAAGCCCAGCCCTGGCCAGCTAAACAACAATGACAACTGCAACAAGAAAATAGCCTGGGCCTTGTGCCTGTAGTCCTAGCTACGTGGGAGGCTGAAATAAGAGAATCGCTTAAGCCCAAGAGTTTGAGGTTGCTGGGAGTTGTGATGCCATGGCATTCTACCAAGGGCAACATAGTGAGACTCTGTCTCAAAAAAACAAAAGAAAATTTAAAACTTTTGTGCATCAAAGGTCATTATCAAAAAAGTGAAAAGACAACTTTTAGGATGAGAAAATATTTGTAAATCCTAAACATGAGAAAGGTTTCATATCCAAAATATATAAAGAACTCCTACTACTCAACAACATGAAAGATAGACAATCTAATTTAAAAATGGACAAAAAACTTGAATAGACATTGCTCCAAAGATAAATGGCTCACAAATGGTCAATAAACACATAAAAAGATGCCAAACACAATTATGAGGGAAATGCAAATCAAAACCACAGTGAAGCTTAACTTCATACCTATAAGGATGGCTATACTCAAAAAAGGAAATTAATGAGTATTGGCAAGGATGTAGAGAAACTGGAACCCTTGTACATTGCTGGAGGGAATGTAAAATAGTGCAGCTGCTATGGAAAATGATACAGCAGCTCTTCTAAAACCTAAACCCAGAATTACCATATGAACCTGACAATTCTACTTCTACATATATACTCAAAAGTATCCAGAGCAAGGACTTAAGCAGATACTTATAGGCTAGAGTTCATTGTAGCATTATTCCAATAGCCCAAAGCAAAAACAACCCAAATGTCTATCAGCATAAGAATGGATAAACAAAATGTGGATTATTACTCATTAAAAAAGTGGAATAAGATACTGATATATACTATAATATGAATAAACTCTGAAAACATTATACTAAGTGCAATAAGCCAGAAAAAGGACAGATATTATATTATTCCACTTATACAAAATATCTAATTAAGCAAATTCATAAAGACAGAAGGTAGATTAGAGGTTACCAAAGACTTGAGGGTAAGGGAACAAGAAGAGAGTTGTTTTGTGTTGCTACAAAGGAATATCTGAGGCTGGGTAATTTATATAAAGAAAAGCTTCATTTGGCTCACTATTTGACACCTAGAAAAGTTCAAGATTGGGCATCTGCATTTGGTGAGGGCTTGGGGCTTCTTCCACTCATGGCAGAAGGCAAAGGGAGCCAGCTACGTACAGATGACATGGTGAGAGAAGGGGAGGTGCCAGGCTGTTTTTTAGCAACCAGCTCTCCTGAGAACTAAAAGTGAGAATCCACTCCCTTAAGGGAAGGCATTCGTGTACTCATGAGGGATCTACTCCCATACTTCCTCTTAGGACCCACCTCCCAATACTGACACACTGGGGATCAAATTTCAACATGAGATTTAGCGGGGACTAGTATCCAAACTACAGCAGAGTTACTGCATAATGGTTATACCATTTCCGGCTTAAGGCACTGAAAAAGTTTTATAAATCAAGACTGACAATGGCCACACAAAACTGTGAATGTCCTTAATGCCACTAAATTGTAACTTAAAAATGGTTAAAATGGGGCAGCATCTGTGGCTCAAGGAGTAGGGCGTGGGCCCCACATACTAGTGTGGCAGGTTCAAAACCAGTCCCATCCAAAAACTGAAAAAAAAAAAATGGTGAAAATGGCAAATTTATGTTACCTAAATTTTACCACAACTTAAAAAATTAATGTGGCGTACAAAAAGTGAACTGTACATTGTAAATGGGTTAACTGTATGGTGAATTATACCTCAGTAAGTTTGTAAAAACAAACAAACAAAAAAAAACTAGGTGCCTGTACCATTTCTTGGAATTCAGTTATACCTGCAATCAAGAAATGATCACAAATGTCCCTGTCCCCAATTTCTACTCCACTCATTTGTATGATATCACATAGATCCCTAACTTATATATTCAATTACATAAACACATGTCATTTTCTATTTTTTTCCATTTTCAGCAAATATAATTAGAACCAGTTACTACTAGTTGGCAAACACTGATGTTAAATGCAAAACAGATAAGGCTCATTCAAATTTTAGAAATTAACCTTGCCAAGAGGGGATAGATGCTGGGAGACATTAGGAAATGATTATTGATTTGGGAAATTCACATGAAACCTCAGCCATGTCTCCTGAGCAGAAAAGATGAGATGGCAAAAATGACGGTGAATTTTAGTTGAGGTGGCTTTTCACCCCTATCCAGAATTTCATCTCCCTGTGAATTTTCTAAATAACACATCTATGTTGTGATCAGGATCCAAGGCTTAGAACAGCACAGTTAAGGTAACACTTCCTCTCTGGTGTTTTAGAATGGCAACCACTTGGGGCACCATTAGCAGCTAAAATATGATGACCTCACTTTAATCGGCCATCATTAAATGTCTTCTGTGACTTCTGGATGGTGTTCAGCTTTAATACAGGTGGGGGTGAACCAAGGTGGGAGCCTACAGACATGTTTTCAAGCTATGGCCACTTACACTGGTATCCGCTACAACCTGTGCCTTGAAATGCTTGCTCAGCACTCTCTATGACATATCTTTTCAAACCCATTGTTCTTCCCTATGGAATTGTTCTGGACCAAATTGCTAACTGTGTCAATGTGTTCTCTATTTGTTCATGCCCTTCAACTTGATCAGGATGGTTCAGCAGCTCAGGTCAGTGTGAGAAACTGTTACTAGGCCCTGTGCTAGAGGCACACCATGTCATTTTCTAAATCCATCAGTATACCATTAGTTATTGAACACATATGGGCACTAAACTCTGAGTAGGGGAGTCTGGAGAGATCAAAAAATGATTATAGGCCTGGCCAGTGGCGCAAATCTATAATTCTAGCACTCTGGGAAGCCAAGGCGGAAGGATCCCCTCAGCTCAGGAATTCAAAACCAGCCTGGGGACAAGGGAGAACCGTCTCTACTAAAAACAGAAAAATTAGTGGGGTGTTGTGCTGGGTGCCTATAGTCCTAGCTACTAGGAAGGCTGAGGCAGAGGGATCCCTTGGGTTTTGAAGTTGCTGTGAGTTATGCTGATCCCACAGGTCTCTAGCTTGGACAACAGAGTAAGACTCTGTCTCAAAGTGGGAAAAAAAGGTGATTGTAACACAGTAGGCAAGTCCTTATAAAAGGAAGCAGCAGAGGACAGAATGGGCCTACAGAAGTAGGGTTTTAGCCTCAGCAGATGGGCAGAAAGGAAGGTTTTAGTTTAAAATGTGGGAGAAAGGAATTAATCCACTATCATTTTTAAATTCATGCATACATTTAATTTTCAAGATTATGTGATCAAACTGAAAAATGGTAAGTACCAAAACAAAAACAAAACTCTCTATTTTTGCACAGAGATTTTTAAGTGTAAATGAAAAATGTGGAAAAACAAATTCCATTTATTTTCACTGATGGAGATGAGGTCAAGCACTCCAAAGTTTTTACATGTCTTCAGAGAACACTTTTTGAGTATCTCATGACTTACCCATCAGCATAATCTTCTAAAATCCCTTCCCTAACAACCAAGCGCCCATGTTTCAGAGCCCTGTGGGGAGTGCAGTGATTTGTCCAAGATGAACCTAAATCAGCTGAAAAATTACTAAAATGATAGTAGCAACTAAGATGCTCAAAATTCCCTTTTCAGCAAAAGCACCAGGTAGGGCCAGCCAATGAGGCAAGTCACTTGCTCAACAGGTGTAGACACTGTATGATGACCCCTTGGGGAACACGTGGACCTCAGGTAGAGTCAGCAGAAGCTTCTTCAGCCACATATTCCCAAATGCTACTTACAGGAGGGACAAAATGAGATTAACTTTTCACAGAGCCATTTCACAATTTATACCATATGCCTTATGGAAGATTCATTTTAAACAAATAATCATATCACCCCAAACAGATGGAACTATGCTCAACTAATGACTTTTTGTAATAACTAAAAACTGCAAATCACCTGTATGCTCATCATCAGAGTCTCCAGTAAGTAAATCAAGTCCAGTCAAAGAGCAAGCCAGGTGCCAGGGATGGCTGCGGCTGTCGTCCTGGCACACAGAAATGCAGAGTGCAGTGCAGCCCATTAACAAGGATGCAGATAAACATTTACAGCCACGGGCAAAATGCACGTAATGTATTATTAGGTGAAACAGGCCAATTTACAGCACTTTATAATCTAGGGTCTGCAAAAATAAATTCTGCTCACGCTTACAGGGAAAAATGGACTGGAAGGAAATACATCTTAATGTTAGCCTGGCTGTCTTGGAGAGCAGGGAAAGGGCTGATTTGCTTCCTCTCTTGTGCCATTTTGATCCACGTTTTCAACAAAGACCTTATAGACTGTGAACAGACGAAGAGGCCAGCGCGGCCAGTCGCGAGCCTGGCGGGCCAGGACAGCAGGGACGGCCTCGGCCCCGCAGCTCGGCGCCCGCCGCACCTCCGCCTCCACTCCTACCCTCACCCGGCGGTGAGCGGGGAGCCGAGTGCCGCCCCGGGGCCTCCGACAACCGGCGGGCCGACAGGGGCTGTCCGGAACTCACCCCGCGAAGGCCCCGCGCCTCACCCGGCGGAGCTCACCGACCACACAGACGCCGCCCGCGCCGCGGGGCCGAGGGCGTGGGGCCGCCGGGGCTGCGCGCAGGGGCTGCGGGGTGCGGAGCGGGGACGGGCCCCGGCGCGGAGGCGGGCGCAGGCCGGGCCCGGCCCCACCTGAGCTGCGGTCTCACCTGGGCGTCGTGGCAGGCTCTGCGGCGCGGCCGCACCAAGCAACCGGGGGGTTCGGACTCGGCTCCGTAGACCGCGCGGCCTTGATCCCTCAGAGCACCGAGAACAGGCGCGGGCGGCGCGGAAACTGCAGGCTCTGCGGCCGCGAGTACCCAACGCGCCGACTGTTTGTCGCGCTTCGGCTCCCCCGGGGCGCCCGGCGCTGGCGGCCACCCCGTCTCCGCCCTCCAGACCCAACCCCCGCCCGCGGCCTGGCCTGGCGGGCTCCGTCCGCGACTCGCACGGGCCTCCCTCAGCCCGAACCGAAACGTTACCAAGCCCCGCGCTGCATCCGCTCGTTCCGCCAGGATGGACGCCGCGGACACCCTGTGGGCAAAAACAGCCCCGGAGCCCTTTTTGCAACCGTGGCGAAGGTACCTGGCATTCGCTCCTTAAAATCTCTTTCTTGGAGTCTCAGTCCTCCTTTAGTTTAAAGAGCCAAACTCGTTTAGGGGGCCGTGAAGCCCCAGGGGTGATTCGGAGCCTGCCTGCTTGGGTGAGAGTTCGGTACCCAGGGCCTCTGCAAATGCTCCTTCTGCCTGGACGCTCTCTGTCTCTTAGTTAGTTAACTTAGTTTTTCTTAGTTAACTTCCATTCTGTTATTGTATATTGCTCTTCAGATGTTATTTCATAAGGAAAACGATCCTGGCTGGTAAGATTAGCAGCACCTGGAATTCTTCCTTGCTTTCTTTCAGGGTGTGCAATTATTCTGTAATTTTTGCTTAATAAAAATGTGACAATTAAGTTTGGGAACTTGCCACCATGTGCTTATGGTGGCAGCACTGTACAAACAGCTCGAAAGATTTCATAACTTTGATAGATGAGTATCTCACAGCTGTGTTGGCATGGATGTGTGGCGGTGTCTTCCTGCGTCCATTATTGCTGTTGCTTGTTTTGGGGTGCCCTTGAAGAATGTCGGTGCTTGAATTCGAGGGAGGAAAAAAAATTTGTAAATTTCTTGTTAAACTTGGCAAAAGTGGAAGTGAAATCAGGGACAGGTTAGTCCAAGTCCATGGGAATAATGCCATGAACAAATTGGCAGTGATGAAGAGAGGTCAGGGTGGCCAGTAATAAACTGACAAAAACATTACAAAAAATTGTTGAATTGTGCATCAAAATTGTCAGCTGACTGTGAGATGCATACCAGACCAGGTAAACATAGCTCTTACATTGGACAATGTACCAGCTCACAGGAGGGGAACACCCTCCCTACTCACCTGATCTGGCCCCTAATTATTTTTTTCTTTACACAAAGATAAAGGAAATATTGAAAGGAAAACAGTTTTGTTTTTTTTTTTCTGAGACAGAGTCTCACTATGTTGCCCTTGGTAGAGTGCCGTGGCTTCTCAGCTCACAGCAACCTCATACTCTTGGGCTGAAGGGACTCTCTTGCCTCAGCTTATCAGGTAGCTGGGACTACCGGCGCCCACCACAACACCCGGCTATTTTGTTGTTGTCGTTGCAGTTGTCATTGTTTAGCTGGCTCTGGCCGGGTTCAAACCCGCATGTGGCCTGCACTCTAACCACTGTGGTATGGACACTGAGCCTGAAAAGAAAACATTTTGATGACATTTAGGACATCAAAGGTAATAAAAATGATAGCTCTGATGGCCATTTCAGAAAAGGAGTTCCAAAATTGCTTTAAAAAATGTACTAGGCACTGGTATTAGTGAATAGCTTTCAAAGTGGAGTACTTCAAAGGTATAACTGTCATGCTATTCAGCAATGAGGTATGTTGCACTTTTTCTAGGATGAGTTCATAAACTTAATTGTCAGACCTCATATGTAACAATTATAGACTGAAATCTATGGAGGCAGGAACCTTTGGTTCTCAATCTTTTATTTCCCACATCTACATAGTGCAAACCCATTGCAGTATGGGTTTGATAGCTCTGGTAAATATCTGTTGAATGAATGAATGAAGAGCAACCTGGGTAGTGTTTTAGGTGGCCTTGATTCTCAACTGCGGAGAGTGAGAAGTTGTTGACTGGTCCATCTGAGGAGAGCCCTTAGTGGTGCCTTATGGCACATGGGCCCAGCAATAGACTAGACATGTGTTAAGGGATGATGCAGGGCTTCTTAGGCCCAGCAGATTTGGGGGCTGCTATGGTTTGACTGCACCCCCCAATTCATATGTTGAAACCTAATCCCCAATGCAATAATACTAAGGGGTGGTGCTTTAGGGGTGATTAGGGCATGAGGGCTCTGTCCTTATGAATGAGATTAGTGCCCTTTTAAAAGAGGCTGCGGAGGGGTCATGAAAGACAGACTTTCATATCTGTATTTTCTTCTGCAGCAGTGTCTTGAACATAGTGATTGTTGAAAGAATGAATCAAGGGAGACAGGTAAAAGGCTCCAGAGTGAAAATTCCCAGAGATGGGACAAAGCTAACTGATTTCTTTTTCCCAATCCTTAGTTCTTCTGAGAAACAATCATCAGTCATTGGGCTAGAGCCAGGAAATCTGGGGAGACGCTCAAAAATATTGCTTAAAGAAGGATCATGTTTTCTTATAAAACTTGACATCTTTTATAAAACCAATAAGGTGTGATTTACTGAATGCTTGCTATGTGCCTATGCCATTTCCACTAGTTCTCACAACCACCCACTCATTATATTTACCTCATTTTACAAAGAGACCCAAAACCCTCAGAAATTGCAGGGCCAAGATGTAGGGCTTGGCCTGTGGGATTTGAAAAGTTCATGTTGACAAAGCCTGTTATTAGGAAAATATTAATTGTCCTTGAAGAAAACTCTGGGCCTACTCTTAGAGGCCTAGAGAACCTCTCTGTTTGGGAGTCCTAGAGTACAGTGGGGTTTAGCCCATCCATGAAGCATGCCTAAGTCTGCATCTGAATAGCCAAGAAAGTCCCTGATTCCTCAGCTGAATTATTCTGTGCCACTGTTTCCTCTTTGGGTATTGTTTGTGAGATGTCTGGAATTGAGGCTGCTTTGTACATCTACTCATTCCATAGGCCCAGGACATCTGAGATAGGAATAGTTATCTGTTACCTGAAGGACTGTTATGGAAAGAAATAGCATCTGAACAGAATACTGTGAAAGGTATTGACATTGAGTACACAATGTACATGTTTAGGCTGATCATGCTTTTGACTTTATTCTTACTCTTATATTGTTTCCTTGTTTCCCAGAAAATACCCAGATGCTATTCTAACCTCATAAATTGCGTCTCACCAACTTGCCCATAAACACCAATGATTTATTTTAATAAAGCAGCTAAAAACCCTTTTATTCACAATAGTCCATGTTTTCAGTGGATCTTCTTTTGATAGAGGGACTTATTAATGGATTGACTGATTTTCTGAACTTTATAAACAACACGAATGGAAACCAAAATAAAAGAAAAAATTACATTCATCTGATAACTACAGATATGAAATTTTCCATGTCCCCTTCCAGTATTGGTCCAGGATGATCATTGGTTATATGTTCAAAGAAGAGACATCAATACTTTAGAAATAAGCTCAGGGCCTGGCTGCAGAATTGAGAATGAGAACCAGTGTCAGTAACCACAGTCTCCTGGCATTGGCCAGGCTGCTACTGCTTAGGTACCTCGTCCTCAATACAAAGAGGCTGTGGCTTTAGCTACACAAACACAGAAAGTGAAGAAGCAGCCAATCGAGGAGATTCTGTACAACTTCCAACCAGAAAAACTTAAACAATTTCAGAATAAAATAGATTTTGGTATGAATTATTTGAAGAGTGGCCCTTCAAATAATAGATGTAGCCCTAGTTAGAACAGAGAGACAAAGGAAGGCAGTACAGGCTCATGTCTCAATTGCTCAAGACTTTAAAATTTTTCTGTCTTATATCAACAGAAGCAAAAGCAAAGACCATATGATCCTCTCAATAGATGCAGAAAAAGCATTCGATAAAATTCAACATCCCTTTCTAATTAGAACTCTGAAGAATATAGGCCGTGGTGGCGCATTTCTTAAACTGATCGAAGCCATCTATGACAAACCCACAGCTAATATTATACTAAATGGAGTAAAACTGAAAGCTTTTCTACTCAGAACTGGAAGAAGACAAGGTTGTCCTCTATCACCACTTCTGTTCAACATAGTGGTAGAAGTTCTAGCCAATACAATCAGGCAAGAGACGGAACTAAAGGGCATCTGAATGGGGGCACAGGAAGTGAAACTCTCCCTCTTTGCTGATGCTGTGATCTTATACTTAGAAAACCCCAAAGACTCAACCACAAGACTGCTGGAAGTGATCAAAAAATGCAGTAACATCTCAGGATATAAAATCAATAGCCTTTATATATGCCAAAAACAGCCAAGGTGACAAGGTAATCAAAGACACAGTACCCTTCCCAATAGCTTCAAAGAAAATGAAATACCTGGGAATACACCTCACAAAAGAGGTGAAGGATCTTTATAAAGAAAACTGCAACCTCCAAAGAAAAGAAATAACAGAAGATATTAACAAATGGAAGAACATGCCATACTCATGGCTGGGAAGAATTCACGTTGTTAAAATGTCTATACTTCCCAAAGCAATCTATAGATTCAATGCCATCCCTATGAAAATACCAACATCTTACTTTCAGACTTGGAAAAAATAATTCTTTTTGTATGGAATCAAAAAACCCATATAGCTAAGACAATTCTTAGTAATAAAAACAAAGCCAGGGGCATCTGCCTATCAGACTTTAGGCTGTACTTCAAGGCCATAGTGATCAAAATAGCATGGTATTGGCATAGAGACATAGACATCTGGAACTGTATAGAAAACCAGGAGATGGCTTGGTGCCCGTAGCACAGTGGTTATGGCACCAGCCATATGCACCAGGGCTGGTGGATTTGAACCCAGCCTGAGCTAGCTAAAGAACAATGACAACTGTAACAAAAAACTAGCTGGGTTTTGTGGTGGGTGCCTGTAGTCCCAGTTACTTGGGAGGCTGAGGCAAGAGAATTGCACAAGCCCAAGAGTTTGAGCTTTCTGTGAGCTATGATGCCATGGCACTCTACCCAGGGCAACTCTATCTCAAAAAAAAGAAGAAGAAAAAAAAAAAGAAAACCAGGAGATGAAACTAACATCTTACAGGCACCTAATCTTTGATAAACCAAACAAGAACATACACCAGGAGAAAGAATACCTATTCAATAAACGGTGCTGGGAGAACTGGATATCCACATGTAAAAGACTGAAACTGCACCTGCATCTTTCTCCACTCAAAAAAATTGATTCAAGATGGATAAAAGACCTAAATCTAAGGCAGGAAACAATAAAAGTCCTGAAAGAAAGTGTGGGAAAAACATTGGAAGCTATCAGTCTGGGGAAGGACTTTATGAGGAAGACTTCTATGGCAATTGCAATGACAATAAAAATAAACAAGTGGGACTTAAT